GGGGTACGCGAAGACATCTTAGGGGGTACGTGAAATTTAAAAAAAGTATTATTTTATGATAAACACTGAATAATCAGTAATGTAATTTATTTAATTTATTTTAGATGTAGATTATATACTATGTATAACTTGAATTATACACCAACGACTTTGGGGGTATAAAGTTGAAGAGAAATTATATCTGGGGGTACGCGAACAAAAAAGGTTAAATACCACTGCTATAAAGCATAGGTGAAATTCCATCAGTCCATACTGAGCAATATCCCAGAAGACAGCAATTTTCAAGTCTTCGATATGTCATTAGAAAGAATTTAAACAACGGACGAAAGAGACAAGTGTGTTGAAATTTGTAATTTTAGAAGTTTATATACAATACCTTTGTCGAAAAACATGAGTGGAACAACATTTGTAAGTACGAGGATAATATTAAAATCGGAACGTAAAATCATAAATGTAATAAAATTACATAATTTCACTCCAGGGGCTCTTGCGAAAGTGTCGTACCATGTTTGACCAGACACTGAAACAATTCATAAATCTGAACAGGAGATAACATCAGCGGTACTTACAACGTGAGGGTCTCATTCCAGACGGGGTTCAGCGACGACCGGATGGTCTTCGTTTTCTTCTTCACGTTGTCCGAATCGGGGATCAGCTTCAGTTTCACATACGGATCTGAAGATCCGTTCGGATCCATTGGAATCATATTCCTGCCTTGCCGGACTGCAAGAAGAACAAATTCGATTCCTTCATTTAAAAAGTTGTCAGTGGATCCACGGTTCCGGAGAATTTGACGTAAATACGTCCCTACGGAAAGGAAGTTTATATATTGGCTTTATTCTAAATATTTCCTTTATACATGCTTTACAATTGAGTAAAGTTTGATTAAGACTTTGCTTATTTAACTTGAATTAGTTACGCTTAAGATGGGTCTGTGGTAGCTGAATGTAATGTAATGTAAGGTTATTATTATTATTTAGTGTTCTGTCTGACGACAGGTCCATATGAACAGGATCCTTCCATCCTTTTCTCGGACTGGGCCCTGTTCATATACGTTCTTGGCAGATGATCCAGAAGGGGTTTGCCATTGCCTTCTTCTGTGTGTGAATGGGATGCCACGGAGAAACCGGGGAAGCCCCCGGAGGAAAACTCCGTGTTACCTAGACCCCGGCGTTGCCCAACACAAGTTATAAATTCGGGCACAGCCGGGAATCGAACCCGAGACCCCCAGGATTACAAGGCCAGCGTTCTAACTTCTAGACCACCGTGGCGGTAAGGTAAGGTAATGTAATGAAATGTTTTATAGGTAACAACAATGCCGAGTAAACAATTGACGTTTCCAAGGTAACATAACAATGCAGTTACACTTTTTCGTTCCTCTTTTTGCCGAATGACACTGACCCTAAAATATAGACGTATTTACGTCAAAAACATTCACAACATTTACCGAGGTGTCTGGATGATAACGCGGTGCGTCACGTGTGACCTCATATAAGATCTACTGTCCACAGATCACGAGAAAAACCCTGCTAGTGGAAGTCGTTTCTGGTCGGTTAGGGGGAATGTTTACTAACAAGTCGACAAGAGGGCTGCTATTGGTGGGAAGTGAGATACGTCAGAGTTTTACGCTACTACACAGACTGAAAACATCAAGCAGTTAAGAGTAGCGTGTAGTGAGCGCACTTTTAATGTGTTCTGTGGGTGTTGCGATAATATTCTAGATTCAATCGCTGTGCCTCTGTTAGGTAATCTTAAAGCTGTACCCATCAGAACACATGAAAGCCTGTCGTCTGTTGTTCGTTCAGTGGTTGTGGAACGAATGCTTTTAGGATCGGTCGTCACTCACCGCGAAATCTTGCGCATGCGCGTATATCGAATTCCTAGCAGGGATTTTCTCCTGGTCTGCGGACTGTACACCTCTAATGTGTTCTGTGTGTGTTGCGATAATATTCTAGATTAAATCGCTGTGCCTCTGT